GGGGGGAGTAGAAATACTCCTAGTCGCTTCATGCTACAGAAACCGGGATAAGCTCCGGCCTGATGGGCCACTTGGCTCGCATGCAGACTTTACCTTATTTTAAATACTAGGCCAATTTCCTGCCAACTGAAGACTTTTATTAAACCAACAAAAAGATGCCTTTTTTGTCGCCTTCAGCAGGGTTCTCATTGAGTGCCGGCAGCCGACTAAAAAAACAGCTCCTTCGATTTCTGAGCAGCCTACTTTTTATGAAATAAAACACATGTAAGAGGACATGATTGATCATGATTTTAAAAGGCATGTAAGTTGCAAAGAGTAACCTAGGGAAAACACAGGGTTTTTTTAATGTGACTGAAACTTGACTGTCTTTGTCTCAGGACAGTCAAGGCTGACGCTATAGATGGGGCATGAGGTCAGGGTGTGGTGTAGCTTAATATTCTCGACATTTTGACCTTTTCCAAATCTTTCTCATAAGTATCTCCAAAAGAATAAGTAAAACAGCATTTGACAGAGCCTCCCAAATTCAAAATCCCTAGAGGCATGTCCCTTCAAGACTCGAATTGGTGTCAGCCATCTACTTTGTGAAACTAGCCTTCAACTCCCTAAATTAATGAGTCCCCTGTTCAGCTTGTACAAATGATTCATTAAGAGATTTAACTTTTTCTTTTCCTTCAAGATGAATAGCCTAGTTTCGAATTGTTTGTGCGTGAAAGCCTGGTAAATATTTTAGAGCATCAGGACGAGGCTCAGGGGAATAAAGACACGACAAAGGCACTTATTTTGAAAGCAAAACAGGTGAAAATGAGGTATAACCGTGTTGTGCCATTTCCGTGTGCAAAAGCAATTCCAAAAAGGGACCAGACCTCAACTTTTTCGAATGAGAAAAAGCTTCGAAAGAAATGGAGCCCCTTTTACCAGTGAGCTGACAAGGAGTTTCAGTCTACTGTGAACCTATACATTAAGTTCTCAGCATCTTGACACCAAAGACCTTGTGTGGGATAAAAAAGAAACCTGAAGTCTGGAATATTAGTGAAGCTATGGGTTCAAAACTGAAGCGAAAGTGGATGGGGAAGTGATTTTCACATAGTTAAATGAAATTTAACATAGTTAACGACTAGGAGCTAGTCTGTTCAGTAGCATTTTTATAGGCGGTTGTTAATGTCTTGGCCGTCAGTGAGCGTTTGGTTAGCGTTTGGTGCGTTCTGTAGCGTTTGATATAGATCAATGTAATTTTCCATAGTTTATGACCAGGAGCGAGTCTGGTCAGAAGCGTTTTTGTAGGCGTTTGTTAGTGCCTTGGCCATCTGTTAACGTTTGTTTAGCGTTTGGTGTGTTCTGTAGCGTTTGCAACAGTCATACGGTCGTGAGAGCCCTGGGGCTGACATTTTCCAGCGGTATTTTTGGTTAGTGCATGTGTGGTCGTCCCATGTGCTCGCAGTGTGTTCATCACTCTGTTAGTGTGGCGTTGTGGATTGAATTATAGTTTAGCGGTTCTCGGCTTTACCTCCCTATCCACCCCTCTTTTCAGCATTTTTTTTTCCACCAATACCATCTGGCTTGAGTGTGACGGGTGCCTGTAGGGGGCTTGGCGCGGGGGGCTCGTGGCTTGGTTATGGGTTGGGCAGGCCAGTCGAGTGTTCTGGCGCCTTGGGGATGTGACTGCGGTTGCAGCCCCCGGGCTTTGTAGGCACCTTCCTTCCACTAGTGACTTGGGTGTTAACTCCCGGCAGGGTGATCTTTGATTTGATCAAGTCGTCCTGTAGCTCTGTTTCTTTATCAACTTTTGGCAGCTTCATTTTGACTGCATTTTTGCAAAGCTCCAGCAGTTCAGCCATTTTCCTTTTCTTTCCATCCACAGCTATCTAAATGTCTCTCACCTTTAGGAAGTTCTGTAGCTCTGGGACTTTCATACTCACAAACGAAGAACTTTCATTGTCTGCCATCTCAATGAGTTATTCCCCTGAGCCTTGTCTCAATGCTCCAAAATAGTTACCAGGTTTTCACGTACAAACAATTCGAAACTAGGCTGATGAATTAGGTTGGCATGGCAGAGCTCAATATGTGCAGAAAAATTTTCACCACATTCAAACCCAAACTTTGTGGAGCAATGTACGCTTGCACTGGTATACAACAGTCATAACCTATAGACTAGGCCAAGCTTCTGCTGTCCCTACCTGTCCCTCCCTCCCCGTCCGTCGGTACAGAATCCGGTATGCAACTTGCAACTCACAACTCCAACCTTACACTCACAACTAACAACTTCAATGCGCAACTCCACAACTTGAAATCTTCCCTCACCAAATGATCCAATGTAAGTTATCCCAAAATCAAATCTAAGCTTTAGACACCAAGAAAGATCATAGAATTTCTTACTAGTTGTTTGGCATCCTCTTCTGTGTCTGGCTTGTTGCCAATTGTCTAGTCCTTCAAGGTTTATGCTGTCTTGTGATGCACTCTGTCTTGTGAAGATCCGTACTGTCTGGTATCTTGTGATGAAACAAGCAAAATGATAAATTATTCCGGAATCCAATCCAAACTATGGACACCAAGAAAGAGAAAATTTCTTACCAGATGTTTGGCATTCTCTTCTCTGTCTGGCTTGTTGCCAGTTTTTGTAGTCTTTCCAATCCACGTCCATGTTGTCTTGTGATGCTCTCTCTCTAGTGATGAACTCTGCTCTCTAGCATCCTGATGAAACAAACACAATGATAAATACTCTAGTATACAATCTTATGCCTAAACAGTGACACCATGAAAAATAGAATTTCTTACAAGCTGTTTGGGTTTAATTTTCTGGCTCACTGCATCGTCTTATCAAAACCCTGAAATGCAGGTATATTTCGGTGCTTTGAGAGTAGCCAAGTACATACATGTATCTTTCGTAAATGTTTACAACTTTGAATCACAATTGGAATTAAGCCTGATTACCTAATTCCTCTAGTTAACTTATTTTTTCCATTTCTATTTGTTTGGTGCAAAAAATATGTTGACCTGAGTTCTTGTTTAAATCACAGCTTGACTGGTCCCAGGTCCTAACCCCCACAGTTTTTGACTCAACCAGAAATGAAATTTCCCGATTTCAGATAGCTAAAACACGGAGAAAAAACAACAATATACAATTTCATTTTTTGATTTCCATATCACGATCTTGTGTAGATTCCATTCAAATAAAAAGTTATCTGTCATAGACACTTTAAGCCTTGAGTAACAGGATATTATATAGTGTTAGAACATGAAGAAATTGTTAGTAGCAAGCTAGTTTTAGTCAGTTGCACACAAGCCTTCACACTAGAAGTTGCTCTGAAGCCAGTCCTTCCCAGGTCAAGTCTCAATCAACCTCCAGTGCTTGTTGCTTTCACCTTTTCTTTCTTTTTTGAGAAATTTGCCTGTGTATCCAATTGCATTTTGTCTGTTGTTTCCATAACAAGACCAAAACCTAACCTGGCCACATTTTTCAATAGTTGGAAGGATGAAAAACAAATATTTTTAGGCCATTTTTTGATAAGAGTGAGAGCAGCTTATATACAGCATATCAAGATAACAGAGGCACTACTGGCTGATCCAACAAAGAAATTGGAAGAATTGGCAAAAAATATACATACAGAAACAAGTCAAGTTCTCCTAGGAGTTCAGCAAAAGCACAACCAAAACAAGAGGAGAGACCAAGAGAGGAAAGGCCAGCAAGCTACAGCTCTGGTGGAACTTTGCCTAGTAAATTGATTATCATCAATACAGTGATGAAACCAATAGCTGGGCAGATGTACATGAGAGTTCTAAATTTCAGAGGAAGATGTTTGGCTAAAAGCAAGAACTCAAATTGGAGTACTACATGTGGCTGATCATATTGAAAATTCAACTATGAAGGTAGAAGTTTCAAGGATCTCTGTGGATACAGCTGAAGTTACCCAGAGTAATGTCTGAGTACATCCAAAACAGAGCCACCAAAGACAGGTAAATGTCCTGTGGAGCTAACAGGTGTAAACTGTACCCCTGAAGAGAGATAGAGCAGTTCAAGCAGTTACTTTTCAAACATGTATGTGGCTGGTTTCATTCAGGATGGTGATGATCTGGAAGAAAGACTGGATAGAGTCCTGACATGCCTCAAAGAATATGGTTTGAAGTTGAAGCCTTTAAGTGCTGCTTCCTAAGAGAGAAAGAGAGAGTCGCATACAGTGGACACCATCTATCTGCCAACAGTGTGTCTCCAGACCCTGACCAGAAGGCAGCAGTACAAGCGTGGAAAGTGGCAAACAATGTGAAAGAGCTCAGGTCAATCCTTTGATTTGCCGGCTACTAGAGATGCTTTGTCAAAGGATTTACCAAAATAGCAGGACCACTGCAAGAGTTTGTCAATTCCTGTTTGCATGAATTGAAAACAAACAAGCACCTTGCCATTCTATTAACCAACAAAACATAATATTTGATGAACTCCATCAAAAGCTAACCACAGCACTTGTCCTTGCATTTCCAGACATCAGCAAGCCCCTCTGACTGACACAAGTCAAGAAGATCTTCCCCCTCTTTTTTTAATTTATCTAGCTCTGACTGTTTAGACACCAAATCCATCTGGGAGCCAGTGTTGTTTAAAATTGTGATGTCTAGCTCCGCCAACTGGTTTTCTAAATTCTCAATATATAATCTTGTGGCCCTAGCTTTATTTTTTGTGAATGGAAAAATAATGCCTCTCAATTCCATCTTGATTAATTCCCAACTTAAGCATTCATCTACAACCTCACCATATTTGACTCTAATAATAATTGGATAACTGTTTTCAATTAGCGTTATAAACCCTTGATCTTTCAACGGAGAGTTATTGAACTTCCAAAGGCTCAGGCTGTGCTTATTTTGGGCCACTTTTACTCCCAACCTGACCGCTCTGTGATCAGGAGCTACTGAAATAATATTGATAATAATTTTCTGATAAGAAAGTAATCAATTCTTGACTTCATTTTAAGTGCCTTAGATGAATATAAGTGTAAAAATTCCCATTTAAGTCAAGGTCTTGGAGCTGTGCTATTCAAAAGCATGATGGTAAATACCAAGTGATCACCTATGCCAGGACATAATTCATGGTGAGACACATATATGATTTGCGTTTATTTACTGCCGTTTGCTTGCATTTAGCATTTATATACTGTGTTTGCTTGCGGTTAGCACTTATTTACTGCTGTTTGCTTGCGGTTAGCATTTATTTACTGTTGTTTGCTTGTGGTTAGTACAGTATAGTACAGATTTTATTAGTACTTCCCAAGGGGGCTTTTCACCCGGGGGGGGGCATTTATTTACTGCTGTTCACTTGCAGTTAGCATTTATTTACTGCTCTTTGCTTGCGGTTAGCATTTATTTACTGCTGTTTGCTTGCGGTTAGCATTTATTTACTGCTGTTTACTTGCANCCCTGACCCTATTTAAGGATGAATCAAACGAAAATTGATACCCTATTTAAGGCCCAAACCCGAAAAATGAGACAATTTATAATGATACAATTTAGGCACCCTATCTAAGGATCACACCGGGACACTATGCCAACAGGGGAAAAAATGATACCCTATTTAAGGATCGAGAACCTCAAAAAACCATACCCTATCCCGCGGCACATACCTATATAGCCCATATAGGGGAGTACCACCCCCCCCCCCCCGGGGGCTTTTCAGTACTATTACTACTAAATAAGTTCCATTAAAATTAAAATGAAATAAATCAATGTACCAAGCATTAAAGGGGTGAAGGGGAAGGCGACTAAATGAGTCCTAACATGAATTATATGCCCCTATGCCAGTCCTAGACTGTGGCCGACAGAATAAAACATGGACAACTATAGTTCAATGAAACTGGAAAGGTGGCTGTGAAACAGGTTACCCAAGATGGTATGCCTTTGGTTGAGGTCAAGTGCAAAGTAGCATTAAGGGCTATTGATAATGAACTCAAAAGGAATCTTCCACAAGTGGAAAAGAGGCTTCCAGAACAGACTCAAAAACAGAGTCCAAGTACCCCAGAGGTTTCTATAAACCCATCATTTCCTCAGTACTCAAAGAAGAAGTTAACTGGAATGCTGACTGATGACCCATCAATAAAGAGTTCCTGAAATATTGGAGAGCAAACAAGAAACTGAACACAAGAGAGAGAGAGGATGCAAATTGTCAACAGAAACCTACAGCTTGTCAAAACAGTGGTACCATATCGAAAGGAAAGACGGTTTATTATGATGAGAATCCACAATTACTCCATGGGTGATGTGAAACACCTAGTTCTTCTGCACATACTGAAAAAGAAAGGTCTTAAAAGCTTTCATGTACAATGACAACAGGCATCAAGGCAGTGAAAGAGGTCTACAACTCATAAGAACTTCCTTCTACTGGCCAAAAGTGCTTACTGATGTTGAAACGTGGATCAAACATCATGCACGTTGTACACTGGCTAAGATGCCACACCCATGAATTTGGACTCCTATTGGAAGTTTTCTAGCAGCTCAATTACTAGAAGTCTTTGCCATTGACTTCACTATTCTAGAACCCCCTTCAGATGGTTGCAAAAATGTACTCATCATGACAGATGTATTTACAAAGTTCATCCATGTAGTTCTTACCAAAGATCAGAGAAAATCCACCACAGCAAAGGTACAGGGCAAGGAATGGTTCCTGCAATATGGCACACTAAAGTGAATACACTCTGACCAGGGTAGAAACTTTGAAAGTAACCTCATCCATGAGCTCTGTCATATTTATGGGATCAAGAGGTCGAATGGAAAATGCCCCTTGTGAGCAGTTTAATTGTTCAATGTACATGTATGACCTATTGAGGATGCTACCCAATGAGAAGAAGTGGCCAGAACACCTTCTTGAGCTCCTGTATGCATATAATGCAACCCCCTATGCATCAACAGGATACACACCTTTCTAGCTCCTATTTGGCAGAGAACCACAATTGCCAGTCGACATACTTCCAGGAGGGGAGGACCAAAACAAAGAGAGCCTACCAGGAAATGTAAGTGACTGGTTGATCATGACCAACCACCAACCTCACCTGAGAGATGCATACCAAAAAGTAGGCGCCAGTAAAGGGAAGATCAGTAGATCAACAACACAGTTCATAACACAACTAAATGACCTTCGATGCGAGAGACTTTAGGAATAAGAATACAAAGCACGAGGGAAGCTCAATACAGGAGAACTGCACAAGTACATAAAAGAAGTACTGCTGAAAATAAACTCTGTCATGGCCTCATCTGTCTCCTTGACATTACAAAATGATGATTTCCCTGTGGCTAACACATCACTTTCCTCAAAAAAGGTAAAACAGCACTATTTAAAAAAATTCTCTCTAGGGTGAAGTTGTTCTGGGCTTCTCACATAACTCTATGGCAGGGTCCGAAATTGCGCTTTCCTGGTCACCAATGCGACTAAAAATTTTGCTCTGGTGACCAGAATTTCACAACTGGTCGCCAGCGGGCGATTAACTATTTCATGCCAGGACAATTATACAATAACTTTGATTTTCAGCCAAATTGATTAAAATAAAATTCAAAGCCGCCCGCCAATTGGGCACTTATGTTTTACCTNGATTTTCTTCATTATAAAGCTACCACAATGTTTCACAGCTACGATCAGTGCGAAGCTTTGCCACCATGTTTTTTCAGCGGTTTCCCATAACATACGTATTGCAGGTGCAAGAGGCCACGTGCGTTCTTTCGCCATAAATGTTTATTCAGGCAATTTCGTGTCCAAAGATGTTCTGAAATCTTTCCGTAATTTATTACAAGGTGGAGATGGAACATCCATGAAGAAATTAGTTGAAGATTTAGATATTCTCTGGGCGTCAAAAGGCGGAAAAGTAGATCTGTCAAAGTAGTCAAAAGATGATTTGCGCACTGGTTTGATTCCTGATTACATCAATTGCAAATATTTTGCCGGCAAGCCCATGGCGCCCAAAAATTTTGGTTTCTGTTTCGCTGCGAAGGAAAAATTTTATTGACACTTTCTGGCGACCACATTTTTCCATATGGCGACTGAAAAAAAAATTTCAGTCGCCAGTTGGCTCCTGCCTTAAAAAGTTAATTTCGGACCCTGTATGGCGAGTGCTGTATCAATGTAGCCATGATACTACAAATCTTATAGAAAGCACTGAAGGATCCGCATGAAAACCGGTTAAGGCTGATATGGCTTTCCTCTCTAAATATACACTACTTTTAGCAATTTCCTTGATCTAAACAGAAACTTGTCAGCAATTATTTTTCTAATAATTATAGCCATGATGAGAACATTTTAAACAGAAAATCACTGACCTTGCATAATGTAATCATTATTGTTACAATAAACCATCAATAAGTGAAAGCACTAGGTTATCAAACTGACAAAAGTTTAAATGTCAACTAAAAAATGCAGGGCATTCTTTCCCATCAACTGTGAGTGTTTGGCTAGAATGGATTTAACTTGATATCAGTGATACAATTTTTTTTGCATTTAAGACTTTTTTGCACCGTACTAATCATGCCTTCCAAACCCGTGTTATACAACTTTCAGCCCCTCCAATTCTCCCGTCTATACACAATATAGGTCAATCTATTTGCCTACAAACACCAATTGAGTCTTATGCAGTTTTACCTGTTTTTTTTTCAAGCCATCCATTAGTTTGTGTGTGGTTGTTGTGCTTCCCACATACAGTGTATGTCTGTGGGTGTGGCTTTGGAACATACATGTAGGTTGTCCACTCGCTTCTTTGTTACTCTATACAAGTAAATGAATGCTTCCTTGCACACCTGTAAGTTGAAGAACGATATGGAAGAACTAAGACGGTCTGGATGGGGTAAACTGATAGCTGAGAACTGGAACTGTTAGTTGAGATGGTTGAATTATGCATGGATGTCCTTAAACTTTTTGTTAGGTATGGGTTATTTTACTCCCTTTATCCAACTAGGCTACATCATTGCCATAGTTATTCACACCTCTGACTCAATAACAGTCTTTGAAAATGCCTGTTCTATGCATACGCTAAGAATGTAATACCATTGATGCATTATGCATTTTGGTCTTCTGCAAAGTTCTGCCAAATCGTTTGGCACTTACTGGAATATACTTTGTAATGTTCAGGAAGTTTTGAAAGAGATCAGAAGCACTGGAATGCTCCTCAGAAATCTTGGTAAGGTAAAAGTAACTAAGATCCGGTAAAACTGATAGCCAAGAAATGGCCAATATTTTAACTGACAACAGAGAATCAGGCAACCCCATCAGGACCCAACACGTAAGTACGGAGACATGCAAATGTTCAATTAAACTAATTGAAATCTCTCAAATCTTCAACTGAATAACTTCTTTTAATTTTCCAGCTAACTGATATTTCAAAAGAAGAAAGCGATTGTTTTTCTAATAGCATCTATAGAGCTAACAAGCTTTTGTATGGGGCAGGGTCGTTAGCCCTATGCCCAACCCCTAACCTGGAAAACCAGGAGATCACATTCTAACCTTCAACCTGTTCGGCATGGGTGACCCTACTAGGAGTGCAAGACTCCAGCTGACATAGCCCTACGGGTCATAGAGACATGCAAACTGCCCTGCCAGGATAAGGTGCTGACCCCAATTAGAGCAGCATCAGCAAGGATGTGTGATGTCAGGATTCTTACTCTTATTGGCCATGGATTGAATCATGAGAAAGACAGGAGCGGATAAGAAAAGAGGGATACAATGGAATTTCACAGCAGTGCTGGAGGACCTTGATTTTGCAGACAACATCGCACTACTGCCATCCAAGTTTAATGACTTGTATGAGAAGACTGAGAGATTGAGAGAGGAAGCAGGCAGAACAGACCTTAAACTAAATGCGAGAAAATTTAAGACACTGAGGACTGAGTGCTAGTAACAGAGAGAATATCGTGGTGAATGGTGAAGAAGTGGAATATGTAGAGGAGTTTGTATACCTTGGAGCTACTGTATAACATTACTGTAGACAAAGAAGGTAGAGGTAGTAAAGATATTGGGACAAACTGCAGAAGGCATGTGGTGCATTCCAGAAACTTTGGAAGGTGCAGGCAGCCAGGGGAATAGGAAAAAGAACCAAGATACACCTATTCAAGACTTGAGTTTGACCGACCTGCTATATGGCTGTGAAATGTGGAAGATTCTAATATTCTATGTATTAAGCAAAATAAAATGGTTGTTGTTGCTGTTGTTAGATTACAAAGGCTGACAAAAGAAAACTGAACAGTTTCCATTGCCAATGCCTGAGATGAATACTGAGGATTACTGTAGATGGAGGGAGAGAATGACAAACAAGAGAGTGGTTGAAATGGCAGAGACAAATGACATACCAGTAAGCTGCGATGTAAGGCGTAGAAAGTGGAACTGGTTACAACACGTACTCAGGAGAGAGGGTATTAATGACTGCTTCACAACATTGGGATGGACATCAGAAGGGCAAAGGGAAAGAGGGAGACCCTAGACCATTTGGAGAAAGACTGTGGAGAAAGAAAGGAACATGGACAGGTGGAAGAGCTGAAATGCAACCAAGACAGTGCCGCAAAACAGACAGTGTTGGGATGAGAGCATGATGGCCTTATGCCCCTACAGGTGCAAAGAGAAAAGATGGTGATGATGATGATCTATAAAGTTGTTTTTAACTGAGTGTCAAAAGTAATCAAGCGATTGCTTTGGTTTTGGTTTTACTACAGTTTGAGATTGGCTGGTAAGTAATTCATTTGGTTTTAATTTTTCTACACATGTAAAGTTCAAATTGAATGGTTCTAATTTGACCTTCATGAGATCAACTCCAATTACACAGCAAATAGGCCTGGAGAACCAATCGCAATTGAGACTTTTGTTATAGATATGACTGTTGGTGTACTTGGAAAGGCACATACATGTACATGTACCTGAATTCTGGTAAGGTCAGACCCTTGTACATAGTATTCATAAGCCAGAGAATGCTTCCTTTCCTTTCCTTGCTTTCACCAGCTCCTAGGCATTCTGGTTGTTTTCCGATGACCAGTCCTCTATGGAACACATTCTGTAGGCTGTGGTCACCTAAACCATTGAGTGTTTGAAGAATGTGGTCTCTCTCTCTCTCTGGCTCACTTCATTGAAGCATTTACCTTTGCAGGTACAAGCTGGGACAGTCTCTCAGGTTGGATGTTTATTCCTTTACAATCGGTAAATTCCTCTCCATGTGCAAAAGCAATTTTTCTTGCAGTCCTTGTCCACCTGAGAATTAAAAAAGGAAAAATAGTAATTACCAAGAATGCAAAGCTTTTTGCAGAATTCCAATATTTCAATAAATAAATTAAGGTTACCATGCAACTTAAATAAGGGGTTCTTCAATCAAAAAGGCTGTATTGTGCCGTCTGAGTTAAATCACAGATACATGTACCTTAAACCAGATACTATAAATTCTAGAATTAGTGCCCGGGTTGCTTATTTCAAATTTAGAAGAAGACAGGGTGGGCTTCTTCGAGGGGGTACGCTTATTCGATTTTCCCAAATCGATGCCTGGTCCACAAGATCACTTTTAGTGCAGAGTGCACTATTGGGATGGTTTTGGGGGCTGCCTACCACTAAGGCACTAAGGCGCTACGGCGCTATGGCACTAAGGTGTTAACTTTAATGTTTGTTTTATTAATTAATTCAATTAATTAATTAGTCTAGAAGCAAGGAAGTGGTGGGGGTGAGGTGAAAAAGGTACATGTGTACTCTACGTAAAACATGTTTCATCCACGTTAGTTGGATATGAACATCACAAGCTATATATTTGTTTCAGGTAACGCCTTGCTCTCCTTGTGGTACCATTCTCTTTAGACCAAAACTAATTTGCTCTAAACGCATGCGCAAATTAGTTAGCATTCATAGCTTCTATATTAGGTGGAGGATACATTGCATATGGAATCATGCACAAATGTTGACTAGTTTTCCTTATGGTAGAACACAACATGTAAGACAAACGCATTCTAGCATCGTTAGTGTTATACACTATGTTTCCATGTGGTATTTTATGTCACGTCATGTGACCATGGACGGCAGTTATTTTTCAGGTAGTGCCACTTGCCCCTTTTTATTGCGAAAGTGAAACGTTACTGTGGCTGTGTTGCTTTTAGAATTACACACAGGTCGGTTCAACAAATATCATCTGCTGTTTTCAATCTACAATAGTGTATTTGTCAGGGTTCAAATGTATTACTTCTCCTTAATGGCTTGTTTATTTCTTGCCTTAATTGCGTCTGTAAGAGAGACCAAAAAGTTCCCAAGTTGGTGGCTTTAATACTCTGCAAATTGTAAATTTGTGACAAAAGAAACCAGGAAAGTGCTCAAATATTGCTGCAGACTCCATGGCACCTAATGAAAGTGCAAATTAGCTTAATCAGTCTTTGAGGAGACTCGTTTATATTGGTCAAGTAGCGCTGTTCACCTTCAATACTTTTCGTTGAAACGCTTCTCAGCCATCAATATCGTTGTGTATTAATTTTGAATTGTTTTATTGTTAACAGCAAAGATGGAAACAGAAAAAGAAAGTGGTATTTCG